TATGTCGTGCAGAAGATCAATTCAAATTACGTCTGGGGGGAGTTTTCTGTGCCTCTTGGGTTTCAATGTCTGTTTCCTTCCCCAGATTGTGGAAGTTCTCGGCTATAATTTGTTCAAGTACCCCTTCAGCCCCTTCTATCTTCTTTTGGAATTCCTATGATACAGATATTGTTCCATTTGATTGCATCAATCAGTTCTCTAATTCTCCTTTTGTGCTCCTGGATGAATTTATCTTTTTCTCAGCTTCCTCTTTTTCTATAATTCAATCTTCAAATCATCCTTTCTCCTCTCTGCCTCTTCAATTCATGCATTGGATGCCTCCATTTTATTATGCACCTCATTTATAGCATTTTTTAATCCATCATAACTATTTTTAAGGTCCATAGTCTTTGTAGCAATAGCGTCTCTAGTGTCTTCTATGTCTTCTTCAAGCCCAGCGATTAATTTTATGACTATTGTTCTAAATTCTTGGTCAATTATGTTGCTTGTATCTGTTTTGATCTATTCTTTAGCTGTCATTTCTTCCTGGAATTTCTTTTGAGGAGAGTTCTTCCATTTTGTCATTTTGGCTAGCTTTCTGTCTCTCGTAAGTTTTAAAGGCTTGTTATGTACTCTGCACCAATGAGTACTGCTATATTAAAGGAGGCTCATACACTGTCAAAGGCCTATCCATTCAGGAAGTTTTCTCTTAATGGTGTCCCTTGGTCTCTCTTGTTGTAACTCTGGTTATTTTATTTCCCTATTGGTAGTGGTATTTGGGACTCTCCACCATACGTACTTTGGCTTGTTCCTTGAAGTAGCCCTGGAAAGGGAAACAGGCAAACAAACAGGAACAAAAACATGCAAACGCACAAAGAAATCAAACAAACAAGCTGACAAAAGTAATAATAATTTGAAAAGAACCGAAAAGAAAAAACAAAGGACAGTCTAAAAGTATTAAACAAGAAATCCCAGCTACAAATAAAAAGCAGGGTAGATGCAGTGCTGATGGAAGAACATATACAAAGAGAGAAATGACAGGGTGGGGAGAAAGTGAAAATAAACATTGACCAATCAGAGAGACTAAAAGGCTTAATCCAGAGAGAGAAAAAGGAGAATATGGCAGGAGGTAAGGAGTAAGAAATGAAGATAATGTTACCCAGAGAAACTATATAGTCTGATTAATGCAGAGAGAGAGGGAAAGGAAGGTAAAGAAGAAGGTGTAGAACATGTATCAGGAGGGTGGATTAAACATGTCTGTTTAAACAAACCTATAACAAGAATAACTAGCCCAGAGGAGGGGAGAGATAAGAATGAGAAAAGGGAGAATATATTGAATAGCAAGAATTGATCTGTAGTTAATCACAGCAGTGCAGCAGCACTTGTCTTGGGGGAGGTGCTGTCTGTTTCTGTAGCATCTACAGGCTCCCAGCAGCTCCCTAAGCAGATGGGCAATGTTTGGTAGAGGAGAGTCCTGCCTCCACTGTGGGTCCCGTGGGCCGGTCCCTGAGGCCCCGCCTTGATGCTTGTGGGGAGAAAAATGGCAATGCCCCAGTCCCTTCTGCTTGAACCAGGTGTCCCATATCACTCCTTTGGATCTGTTCTCACTGTGCCATGGGTGCAGCCAAGGTGGGCCAAGGCGCTCCAGCTCCACACCCAGCCGCTTTCCAAGCTCTCACTCTTTGTGCATTAATGATGCTGCTGGAAATGTAATCCTTTAAGCCTAACAATTCAGGGCAGGGGTTCGGTTCCTTGACTAGGTCCTGGGGTATCACCTGACCCAGAGGGAAGTTCTTCTGTCTCTGGCATGGGGAATAGGATAGGATCCCTCTCTGTCCCAGGCCGAGGTTTTTCTCTTGTCCAGGTAACGTTTTACACTTCCCCAGCCACTGTTTCTCTTCCCTTTGTCTCTGCAGAAGGGGCTCCCTCCCCTCTATGCCTCCGTTTCCCAGCCCGTTTTTATCTACCCCAGTTCGCACTCACTCTATGAGGCTGTTTTCTTAGTAGACTCCATCTCATTTCACAATAAATTAGCTATTTGAAGTTACTTAAAATTTCTAATTCTTCTAGTGTCAGTTTTGATAAGTTGTGTATTTCTTTTAATTTTTTTAATGTTTCTTTTTGAGAGAGATGCACACACAGAGTGTGAACAGGGGAGGGGCAGAGAGAGGGAAACACAGAATATGAAGCAGGTGACAAGCTTGGAGTCGTCAGCACAGAGCCCTATGTGGGGCTCGAACTCACGAACCAGAAGATCATGACCTGAGCTGAAGTCAGACACTAAACTGGCTGAGTCACCGAGGTGCCCTGATAACTTGTGTTTTTTTCCAAATAATTTGCTCATTTCATGTATTTGACAATGAAATATTTCATTTTTCAGAGAAATAGGTGATATATGGGCACTGGGAGCATGGAAACAATTGGTGCTCTACTATGGGTATCTCATCAGTTATTTATGCTGCCTTGTCAGAGCCTTTCGCAACCCAGCCCCAGTATACATATATATAGCTGCAGTGAGCCGTTAACCTTCCACACTGGTGCTTCAGGATTAAGTGAGTCACAGTCTGCATTAGTCTTCCTCAAAATGTGGTTCTTAGCCTGTCTTTATCAGGTTCACTTGAGATGCTTATTAAAAATAGAGATTCTAAGCCCCACCCAAGACCTACTGGATGAGAAGCTCCAGGTTTGAATCCTGGTAATTTGCATTTTCAACAACACCCAAACTGCATTTATACAGACTAAATGTTTGAGTCTATAAGTCTGACTGTGAGGCAACCACTATTTTTTGTTCTTTCCCTCCAGAGTATGTGTGGAATCCAATGGTGAGTGAGCAAAACTGAAAGGAAAATGTTATTAGAAAATCATAAGGAAGTTAAAATATATTTACAGTACTGTACTGAATTTATTGAAAAAAAATCCACATATAAGTGGACCTGAGCAGTTCAAACCCACCTGTTCAAGGGTCATTTATGTATTTCAATATAAAGACAGAACTGCAAACAAAACTTGTCTACTGGGTAGGTTTTTCACAGTTGTGGGGGTAGTGTATGTAACCTCACTTTCTAGGTATGATAGGACTGAGAAAATGAGTAAATGTATTGTTGTTTCCTACGTCAGGAAAATGCTATTAAAAATAGGGAAATGAAGAAGATTAGAGCAACCCCTGTGATGTATTTAATTGAGATATCAGAATGAATTCATAATTTTTATAAGTAGTAGACATAACAACAACATCTATAAGCAGAGAAATAAATATGGGATCTTGATGTCTACATTTATCACCAAATATTTCCTAGTTCTGTCCACTGAAAGGATTATAAAGAGTGGTGCTTCGTTAGCAATGAGCACACCTAGCAACCACATAGGTATCTTTGGGTCGAGTAGATCATAAACTCCATGAAAGTAGAGACTGACTTAAGGGCAACTTTACCTTTCAGCATTAAATTGGATTCTGTGCACACAGGAATTTTTATGAAATTAAACCACTTAAGGCATCCCACTGATAAACTTCAGGTCAGGTTGTAGTTACCTGAACACCAGGCTTCTCTGTTCAGCCTAAGCTACTGAGAACCTGCCATCTAATGTTGCCACCACCGTCTGTCTCAGCAAACATGTACAGATCAGCAGCGGTGGCCGCCAACATCTTCAGACACTGCTGCGCCTGGAGCCCCCAGCCCCCACCAGGGGCTGATGGGCTGGATTTACCACATCCTCCAGGTAGGGGGTGTAGCACACCTCAAGCCCACACTATCCAACAGCAAAACATGAGTACTTTCTGAACATCTTGTTCCTGTTGATGGTCACCCTGGGCACTATGTGGCTTTGTGGGAAGCTGTTGTGTATGGTGGGAAGCTGGTGAGTATGGTGGGAAGCTGGTGAGTATGGTGGCCAGGAAGCTGTGTGGGGCCAGAGCTGAAGAAGGCCTGAAGCCAAGTGTAGCCTTGGAGTATGGCATATTGCTGGGGGTGGGGGGACACAGGGTGTTACAATTCTTTATGGGCTTCCAACGAATTCAGGCAACTCCCTTTCTCCACATCATATCAACTTGTTAATTTTGTTGTAGATTCCTGATCATTGGCTTCTTCCTAAAATTGGAATTCCTTATCCAGCCCTTATGACCTTCTTTATTTGACAGTCAGCAAGGGCTCTTGTATGACTTTAGTCCCAGGGTAATTTGGACCAGTGACCTCATATTTTAATCCTTGAAGCCACCTCCTTTGTCATGCCCTTGTTTGAGGAGCATGAGCCTGAACCATTCCAGCCTCCATGTCCAGTATCTTCTTAGCCTGTTTCCCTCACTCCTGCTTCAGTCACCTGCTATCACACCAAAATCAAGAACTTTACAAATTCTCTCATTTTTCTGTTGGCCTTTCCTGTTAACTCTTGTCATAGCTCAGGAAACTACACATACGTCTTTGATCAGGAAACCCAGTCTTCCAGAATTATCGTACCCCTCCCCCTGGAAAAGAGACTTTGTCCTCCTTGCCCAGAATTCTGTCACCTGACTACACAAGGCTGTAAGGGAAGCTGCACCAAAATCCTTTACAAGAGCCAGTCTTGTTTTCAGGACAGAAAATGCAAAAACGCCTCTGGGGCTTGCATGCCCTGAACTTCCCAGGACAAAGAGGCAGAATGACAAGATGTCCTCAGTTTGTGCCTAAAGAGACTGTGGAAGCATCCCTAGTGTGATGATGCTCATTTGGAATTACAGTCTCAGCTGTCAGGTTTAAACCTCCAGGTAAAGACTTGGACTCTAGCACCTCTTCATAAATAAATGACCATCTTAAGAGGTCCTCTGAATACAGTCCAGGAATGGTAGGTGGGCTTGTCTTGGGCATTGGCTTCTAGAGAGTAGACACAAGTTCCTCCGTGGGAGCAGTGTCTCCTGAGATTGGAAGACTCACAGAGATTGTAAGGAGCTACCTGGGGAAATGGAACATGGGGATGACAGTTGAGGCCAGTAGTGCAGCTAGGAGGTGAGAAAAATTGTGGAAGAGTCTCTAAAACGGAGATGGGTCTGAGTCACCTGAAGGTGACCTCAGTGACTTCCTGAGGTACCAACCATTCCTGCTTCAGAGTATGTTCTCTGTAGTGTAGTGATTCCGTGGAAGGAGAGGGGTTAAGAGGAGCTCACTAACCCCTCCTTCCCATTGCCAGATGCCTGAGGTTAGGGAGGGTGAGGACAAATTAGCCAGTGGAGCAAACACCCGGGGTAGGGGTTGGGAGGAGGAGCAGAAAGAAATCACAGACGGAAAGAGAAGACAGGCAGGATCCGTCTCTCACCCCTTCCCAAGCTGCCTGCCAGTGAATCTCCTTGGCTGCCAGTGCAGCGTGTGTCCCCAGGGCACACAGGTTACTGTGTGGGGCACGGGGCGCAGGCTCTGGGTACAAGACTGGGCTCATCAACCGGTACAGGAGTGAGCATGGCAGGGCAGCGGGCGCTGCTGCTAGCCAGCTTCCTTCTGCCTGGGTTCCTGCTCTCAGAGGCCGCCAAGATCCTAACTCTGTCCTTAGTGGGTGAGTGCTTGACTGGAGAATCAGACACAGGCTTGTCCCAGGCACCCGCAGGAAGGCTCAGGCACACAGCCCTGGGTCAGAGGGTCACTCTGTGGTTTTCCAGACCACGCTTGGGTCCCAGGCTGTGAGAGGGAGGGGTGGGAGGGGGATGTTGGGGTATGAGGAGCCCCTGCCTCGTGTAGGGGTGAAGAAGATGCTTCTGGAGAAAGTAGAATACCCTTTCCTCTCTTCCTATTCAGACTAGCTCTCCAAGGCACAGAGATGGGGCCAGAAGTTTGCGATCCCTCCCTGTGCTGGAGACCCCAGGCAGCCTCTTCCCAAGGGCGGGTAGGACATTCAGAGGCTCACTCTAAGCTTCTGGGGGATGCACAGCAGTTGTCGATAGAGACTGGGAGCATTTATGAGCTCATGGGGACAGCAGCACTGATTTTCTGAAGCTGCTTGGGAGCCAGGGTGAAGAAGGGAAAGCATTTCAGTAACAATTAGGAGGGTGTTTTCATCCAGAGGAAACCTAGGGAACTGGCCAGGGTTGGGGACTGGACCCTGGACTTTCAGGTCTTTCTAAGGCCCACTCCTTTCACCTGTGGGGCTGGAAGTATTTGAAGGACTCGGGGAACTGTTAATTTGGCATTTTGTGGCCTCAGTTTTATCTCCTTTACTTTTGCACCAAAGGGAATAGAAGATGAAAAGGAAAATTATATCAGGATAAAGGGTCATCCTAGGCTGGAGCTTGCCCAACATTGTATTTCCACTCACAGTGGGCTCTTTTAAGTCACTTAACTGTATAGACCACTGGGAATTGGGGGATCTGAGAGCTGGAAGGAACGCTAAGTCATCTCATTTAGCCCCCCACAGTGTTTTCCTGAACAAGAAACTTAAGGGTCAGGCACCTTTTGCCAGAGCACACCAGACCTCCTTAAAAGCACACAGCAAGAATTTACTCAGGCCCTCTTATCGCAAGATCAGCCTTTTCGCAGCGTCCAGTCGCATGCACTTTTCAGTGGGGATGTTTTAAAAATCACTCTTTAAGAAACCCTGTAACTGCATTTGAATTTTTTTTTTCCTTCCTGATTGTTAGTAGCAGTGACACAAAAGCGCTCCCTCCTTTCTTATCAGTATGTGTCCTCTGGACTTTGTGTGTGTGTGTGTGTGTGGTCGTGGTGGAGGGGGGGCGTCAGGTGTGGTGTGGGGGCGCTGAAGCCCCGCCTCTGCCCCAGAATGCACTGGGCTCACCAAGACCCTCAGAAATGGCTGCCTGTGCAGGGGCAGGAAGCCTCTCTGCTGAATCCATTTCTTGCATGGGTTAAAGGTGAGTCCGAGCATGCAGTCTGATGGGGTAGGGTTCATGTTTTATGTAACCCGTGTTACCTCAGGGCAACACAACCATAGCTATAAAAAGCTAAGTATAACAAACTAGATGCACACTATTACTGTAGTTCTACATCGTGTGTGCTGACCCAGTCATCATGGCACCTTCCTCTTCCAAACCACCCCCGCTTCCCAACTTGGGCAAATCCTATTCCTTCCCTCGTGGTCTGGCTTTCACTATTGCTGAGACTCATAGATGCCAGAAGCATGGCCCCTGATAGCATATGGTTTTAGATAGAACTTGATGTGATAGAATGTGTACCTCCCAGAGGATCCTACGTCTTTTCCTTAGGATCCCAGGATTTTCCTAGGATGGGTGGGGTCCCAGAGTCTCATGCATACAGTATCCTGCAGTTCCACTCCAGGGGCCCACAGCCTTTCTGAATGCCTTAATTTGAGGTTCAGCAAAATGCAGGCCCCAACTGAGAAGACTCCTGCCAAATATATTTGAATCTCAAGAATTTTGGCTCTAAGTGGTGTCTCTCTCTCCTCAGCTCCAGTGGCTCTTTCTTGGACTGATGTTACAGTTCCCATGTTTTGGCTCTCACATTAGCATAAATTTCCAGAGAGAAAGATTCCAGAAATGCTCTGATTAATTTTCCGCTAGGAGCCCTTCACACTCATATATAGCACTACGCCAACCTTTCCATTCGTAGAGTTATTTAGGGCACCATGTGTCTGGCAAAAATCAGCATGCACGTAGAAATGAGGAACTCCTTAAGGCCTCAGCAGAGAGAGTCTCATCACACTGATGTTTGGTCATTTTTGTGACCAGAGTAACACCAAAGAGTCAGGTGGAGGTTTGCCAAGATAAGGCTTTGGGCCAGTAGGCTCTGAGGAGTGACTGGAGCTTTCTCACCCTGATGGAGATGGACAGCCTGACTGATGAAGCTGATCTTCCTCTACTCACCATCAGCTTTCTGTTCCCTATCTCTTATGTCCTGGCTCTATCACCCCATCCACTTCAGACACTCTATTCTCATGATTACAAAGATGCCGTTGTGCCTTGTTCCTAGGTGGGAGCCATCATCTACTGCTGGACCGGGTGTCTCAGATTCTTCAAGATCATGGTCATAATGTCACCATGCTTCAGCAGAGAGGGAATTCGTTAATACCAGGTATCCTTTCCCACTAATTCTTGATTCCTTCTACTCTATACAAAGTAGAGTAAAGCAACAATGCTTTTGCATAAATGGGCTGAGAAAAGTGTTTTTAAAATCTAATTGTGCCCAAAGAACGAAAAGTGTGCATGTCAGTGAGTGTGTGTGTGTGTGTGTGTGCGCGCTTATGTAAAGTGTTGTAAAACTTGCTGGCTCTGTCTGCCAGCATGCCACACTCTGTAGTCTCATATTTTCCTCTCTTACCTTCATCCCAACCAACATGTTATTACAGGTTATTTTAGTACCTGGCACTTCATAACATAGCTTGATAACATGTGAACAGAAGTGTTCTGACATATATAAGATTTCTAATAGGAAAGGATCACTTTTCTTTTTTTGTGTCAGAGATTACCTTTTGCTTTTATGATAACTGGAATTTAAGAAAGGTTTCTCAGGAAGTCCCTTATTCATGCAGCTAAGATCAGAATCTATAATTGAGATGATTTTGTTTTCTTGAAAAATCAATGACTGCCCATGAGTTTGTGTATAATGATGTTGGATGTTCTTAACAGAATCATTGAATCCAGTGTTGTCAGCTAAAATGAACAAAGAAATCTTACCAACTCTTCTCTGTTTGCAGAGAAGACATCAGCAGCCCAGGGAACTGAAATGAATTGCTCAAGTTCATGTGGCAGGTGAACAATAGTGTTGGGTGGCTTTAGGACTCTAAACTCTGGATTGCTCAATACGAAGCTTTTTTGGGCTTTGATTTTAAAAAATATTCAATTTTAAGTAGAATCTTTGAGGAATAAAATTCTGAGAAATTATAAAATTTTTAAGGTGATCAAGCTTTGTTATTCAGATTTTAGTATAAGTTTTTCTCTGTGAAAATTTCTTCATAGATTTTTATTGTGGTAAAATATACACAGCATAAAATTGATCACTAAATATTTTGAGGGAACAGCTTAGTGACTTGAAGTACTTTCACACTGTTGTGCAACCATCACTCTAGAACATTTGCATCATCACAAACAGGAACTCTGTACTGATTATATAATAGCTGCCATTTACCCTTTGCCTGCAGCCCTTGGGAACCACTACTCTACTTCATGAAAAATTTGGCTATTCTAGATACCTCATTTCAGTAGAAATATACAATATCTGTCTTTTTGTGTCTGGCTCATTTCACTTTGTATCATGTCTTTAAGACTTATTTGTGTCATAGTATCGATCAGCATCTCTTTCTCTCTTAAGGCTGAATAATTTTTCATTATAAGTACATACCACAATTTGTTAATCCAGTCTTTATCTGTCAGTGGACATTTGCAGTGTCTCCTCCTTTTGGACATTGGGAATAATGCTGCTGTGGAAGCTGGTGTACAAATATGTATTTGAGTGCCTACTTAGGACCATTTTAATCACTTTGTAGATTATGGTCTTAATTCTTAATAACATTATTTATATACATATCTCTTTGTGTCTGCATTGATGACAGACATGATTAAAGAACTTTAGTGTAGTAATTTTCAATGCAGTTATTCCTGATTTTGAAAATTATTATTAAAATTATAAATGAAGTTGTTAAGTTAAAATTTTAGATTAATTCAAAACTATTTTGGCAGTTCCCATGCATTTTGAGCAACTAACGTTTACTATGTGACTAGCACTGTGATGTTTTCACATTTATGTCATCATTTAATATGAAGACTGATCTTTGATCCAAAGTAAAGTTTAATAGAGTGTTTGGAGAGCAAATATGGGGATGACCTTTTGGAGGAAAATTTCTTAGAATTTCTTCAAATTGAACCATCCAAATATGCTTCTTGGCCTGTGTTTACTGGCCTGTCTTCTGACTTTAGGAAACAACACATCCAGTGTTATTTGTGTATGTGATGTGGTATTGGTGGAGGGCTGTGTAATGTTTTGCAGTCTTTAGGTCATAATTGCTGTCTTTGCTTTAGGGATTTATTTCCTTTCTTTTTTTAATTTAAATTTTAGATAACATATAGTGCAGTATTGGTTTCAGAAGTAGAATTCAGTGATTTATCACTTACATACAATACCCAGTGCTCATCACACGAGTGCGCTTCTTAGTATACCCATCACCCATCTAGCCCATCTCCCACCCACCTCCCTCCATCAACCCTCAGTTTCTTCTCAGTTTATTCATTATGAGTGTCTTGTGGTTTGTTTCCCGCTATTCTGTTCCACCCACTTACCATAAGATTGTTTGTTTTGTTTCTTAAATTTCACATGTGAATGAAACTATATGGTATTTTTCTTTCTCTAACTGATTTCATTTAGCATAATACACTCTAGCTTCATCCACATCATTGCAAATGGCAATATTTCATTCTTTTCCTTTTTTTTTTTTAACAAGGGTTAAGTTGACTTTATTTGTGAATTCAATCTCTACAAAGCTCTCCCAGA